GTGTGTGTGTGATGTGCATAGGTCAATGTGCATATAATAATATATGTGTATATATGAGCATGCATATATTTGCAAATATGTATCATCTGTCTTAATGTTAATAAAACATCTGGCAAATCGTTCTTATATTAAAGTAATTTGTAACTAAATATAACTGCCCATTAATGAAATGTATATATGCAAATGTTGACGCTTACCAGATTTGTTTCATATTTCTTTAAATGTCAGTTACTGTTCTTGCTTTTGGGAGCTTTAATTGAAACATGCGATAAAAATAGTCCATGAATTGGTTCATGCATGTCGGAATTGCTGGAGGAGTACTAAACAAATTCTGAATATTACTACGCTGCAAAATAAAGTTCTTTATTAGCGAACAGTATTACATCAGTGCATTGTCCAAAGTACTTTCCACGTTCTCATTTTGATTATCCAGTTATTAAATGCCGTTTTATAATCACTCTTGTTATGTTGTCCATATACTTGAAAACCGCACTAACAACCGCGCAGCGGCTTTTAAATCTCTGATAACGAGATTCTACCAAAAACTCACTTGGATTGAAGTAAGGATTGTATTGAGGATGATGGAAAGACTATCCTTTCAGGAAATCTTTCGCGACGGCGGATATATGCAATGGTGTTTTGCTTTGGAGTAGATGGATATCCAAGGTACCAGAACGAACCGGTGGTTAGCTAGTGCTCCATTGCTTTAGGCCACGCTTTGGAGGCACATATGTTCCGTGATATTATCACAGACATGCATAGGCATTTGGATGACCCAATATTTAGCATCGAAAAAAAAATACGTTATAACCTCTCATTACAGACCGAGTATTTGGATCTCCGATCCAAACTTTATTTGCTTTCTCTTGAGTCGGGTTCAGAAAAAATAAATCAATGTTTCATCACCAGTGTCAATCCCATTATCACTATTTTCTTCTTTGGCGAATAGCTATATGTTGATTTCAAATCGACTATCTATTTGAAAAACCGTTAACAAATGCGGGACACATGACCCTTCAGATATTAATAATCGTTGACAAATTAATGCAATTGATAATATAAAATTTTGTAACCATATATCGAGCATCTTCACCAATAGGTCTCTTCACAGCAGCTACATTTTGCTCAAGAATCGTAGACGTGTATCATGTTCCATGGATTCTTGGCCGTCTGTAAAACGATGTAACCACATTGCAACTGTATGATATAATGTAGAATTACACCCACAAACTTATCAGCCTTGGCAGCAATGTGAGTGTCCTAGGAGAGACGGGGTTTTCCTTTATGCTCGCTGTTTAGTGGTAGACGTTTTCTTCTTTACTGACTCATTTACGTCACTGTCATTTGCTCATGTTACGTGACACGCATATATCTGAAGTCGTCCAGTACGTCACATTTTGCACTTGCAGTAAATTTTATCAAAGTTTATTTAGTCTTTTCATCGGCATTAAATTTATTAAGAGGTTTTAAGAGTCGTGTGCTATTAGGTCTTTGAGATTGAGAATTTTCTCAACCCAGAAACCCTTTGATATTTCCCAAACGTTTCCACACTGGGGAGTGTTTTTCTCCACACGTGCTCATCTTCCATTTTAACCTGTGTTGTGGCTTAGATTCTTAACCGCGTCATATATTTCGGGATAGGGAGCAATTGTACTGTGTGCTCGCAGACAGATCAATCGGTATATACCAGAAACTGTTTTCTTGATTTTTACTGCGTGTAAATCAGTTTCACGTTTTGGGTCACTATCGTTCCAGATCTGACCTATGTAGAGAATCCATAGATTTTTTTTCCTATTATGTGGAGATTCGATCGAGATGACATAGCTGTATGGGTTCGTGTTCATGGACAAAACATTTTAGAGATTTTGCCGGTCACCAACGAAGTCTTGGGTCGCATCTCATCATTGACTGAATCAGTCTAGTACGCTCCCGTGTTAAGTCAAGCAACTCTCTGACGAGAACACGAGCTAGTTATTAACATTGAATACCCTAAATAGTCGCGAACGAATATTAGGCCAATTACGATAAAAACTCAACGACGTTATTGCGATTTCGAGTAAGCTTCATTACCCACAGATAACTGATGTAGGAAAAAACGCAAGGAATTCCTATTTAACAGACTAGACAGTGGTCATCTAGGTGACGTTAGGGACATTTATTTTCACGTAAAACACGTTTCAACGTGGAGTGTCTCAAAAATCATCATCGATGTTATATACAGCATTGGTGCCTTCAGTGAATTCGTCTATTAAAGCGCGAAACATGTTCGTTTCCATAACTCTAGCAGACTGCAACATCTGACAAATTGACACAGCCTCGTTGCCGACTTCTCGCGCATTATAACCGGGCGCAAACCGACCGCACAAGTTTTACTAACATATTTCAGGTCGCACATACGGGAAACTGCTCCACCAAGACCTCTTTACAGGTGCTTTCTGCCTGAGAGTTCCAAGTTCTTCTCGCAGCCTGAATTTTTTTCTTCTTCCCTCATGGGTACCCGTCAGTACAACAAAATTACTGCAAGAGTACAGGTAAATGGGGCTGTGACGGATAGCTTTGAAATACAAAGATCA